TGAACCCCAGTGGATGCTCCATAGATACAAACACTTTTGGGGAAAAAAAAAAAATGTTCTCTGAAGGAAGACCAAGGATTGGAATTCGTAAGATTGAAGAGGCTTAAAAGCAACTTATTAATCTAAAACTGTATGCTTTGTGGTGATTGGGTTTTATTTATTTACATCTACAAAACAAGTATAGGGTTTTAAGCGAGATGTGTCTTAATCCATTTTCTGTTGCTATAACAGCATACCTGAGACTGACTAACTGATGAAATAAAGAAGTTTTTTTTAGCTTATAGTTCTGGGGGGAGAAAAGTCCAAAAGCATGGTGCCCGCATCTGCTCACTTCTTCCTCATGCTGCATCATAACACAGTGAAGAAGCCAAAGGGTGAGCAGAAGGAGAAAATACTAGGCCTGGCCTTGCTTGAGAACCAGGTACTCTCACAGAACTAATCCAGTCCCAGGAGAACGACATCCTTCTTATAACCCAATCACCCCTTAAAGACTCCACAGTTCTCAACACTGTAACAGTGCTGAACAAACTTCAACTAGAGTTTTGAAGCAGAAAAACCATACCCAAACTACAGGCCAAGAAGATAAGAGGAAGACACGAGCAAGCTAGGACTCAAACTGTGAGCCGTAAGGTTCGAATATTTGTCCAAAATGGGCCATGACTTGGGCTCTGAGCTTTCAAGAAACCAAATTTTCAAGGGTAACCAATCATAGTGTCCAGAAGATATAAATGAATCAGTTCAAAGAAGGAACTGTGACTGCTATTGAAACGCAAGACCTCTCTCCCCATCTATTCTCTTATTTTCTATGGCAGATTAGAGAGCAGATATTACAGCTACCAAAATGAGATTTGTGGGATTGAATTCAGGGCTAAGCAAAAGCCCTATCACTTAACCACATTCCCAGCCCTAGACTGTTTGTAAAGCCTTGCTTGGTATTAATGGCATAAGGCCTAAGCACAGTTCAATTCAAAAGCAATTTCATGAAGAACACTGATTAAATAACTTTCACCTCCACTAAAAACTAAAAGAGTAACACCACTATATATATGTGCATATCTATATCTAAATAAACAGATACTATATCATAAGATATTAAATTAAGAACATGAATGAACACTCAGCCAGAAACCAACAGTATAGGAGAAGAGTGAAATGAACTTTTTGAAAGTCCTACCTATAATAATAGGTAAAAGGTAAAAATCTACTCACCAAAAGCATTAGGACAGTTTGGTACATCCCTGGATCCTGTGCTCTAGTTTGTAAACTACTATTCAATAAGCTAGTCTCTATACTCATTTTTATGAATGGAAAAATTATAGGGTGAAGATTTTTTTTAAAGGTACCCCAAAGTGGCATTTAAAGCAATAATCCAGCTTGAACTATAGGTCTATTCAGTTCCATTCAGTTCCACAACTATTTATTGCATGCCTAAGCCTACATGGTAGATGCCTGAGCAGCTTCAGAAATGAATGACAATAGACCCTGACCTCAAGAATGTGAGGTCTGGTCTAATAGAATATATAAAAGAGATGCAGAATTGGAAAGAAAAGAAAACCCTGCACTATCAAAAGCATCACCAGAGTTCCTTAAAGTGGCTCAAAGAAGGGGCACTAGACAACAGTCCTTTTGTGGAGGGCGTCACTTGAGATAAGCCTGTAAGAAAAAGAAGATGGATGGAGGGATGGACGGACAGAGATGGAATCAGAGAAGGAAGAACAAAAGCAATGGTAAGAAGGTAGGAAGGAACACATGGTACACACTTCAACATTTGGTGAGAATGCTAAAGCATATGCAGGGGGATAGGGTAGGGAAGTGGTTGTGGCCATATGGTCATGGCCTTGAAGTGGCTGGGGGGGGGGGGGTTTAACAGTTTAACACTTTAGATCTCATGAGTATAGTTGTTAAATCAATTCACTCCTCTTAAAAACCATACTGGTTTTGGAACAGGAAGTGTTTGAAACATATCAATATCTTCTATTGCTAAGTGTTATTCAAATACATTCTCTCTGATAAAAGTCTAACTCTGAAGATCAAACTTAACAAATGGGCAAATTACTGATTTTAATAATTCCAAACCTCCATGAAGATGTCCATGAATGAAAACCTTATCTCTGATGTAAATGTTCTAGTCACATTTATGCTTCAATTCAAAGTTACCCAAACTTAGGCTGCAATTTGTATTATTTTCTAAAGGAAAAAAGTCCTATATTTCATATTTTAATTATTTTTTGTATGCAGTAACAAGTCCTTCAATGGGTAAAATAATTAACCTTTCATTTGTCCAATAGTCTGAATCATGTTAATTTCATAGGAATTATTCACTTGAATTAACCCTTCCTGTATTATTTGCTCCAGGTATATCTGCAAACAGAAACTTTAAACTAGTTATATGTCTAACAGGGACACTTTCATAGAAAACTCTACAAATTCATAATATTTCAAACTAAATTGTTTTATTTTTAAGGAAAGCAAAAAAAAAAATAGAAAATGTTCAACCTGAAAAAGAGTAGCTAAAATAGGTATTCAAGATGTATTAAACATAAACTATTTGCCTCTAGAACAAGGAAACATTAGAGGAAGAATAGAAGAAATTAGCAGTTTCTCTGCCCTCTGGTGGCAATAAAATCTACTGCAACATTTCCAAAAGTAATGCATAATAAAATGTCCCTGTTATGAAATCAGATGTTTTTCCTGTGCCAAAATGTCTGTAATAAAGATCCTGATCACTACATGCCAAATTTCAAGACTGTTGGAGTTTTTCCCTGGGGTTGAACTTTTAGATAGGTTATTTTATGATGGGAACTATAATTTTCCTACTGTTCCACCTTGCTATATTTTATATATTCGGTAGGCTAACCATTTAATTCCAAGATTATTTCATAAAACTCCATGTCGACTGATGACCAGGAAAGAAACTATTTCAGATTATAATAAAGTCTCAAAACATTACCAAGAAATTTAAAACTACTTTTTTACTCAATCCCAAAAACCTATGGGTTTCTAAGAGCAGATTTCCTTCAGAATTATTGATTTAGTTTAAAATACTGGTACAATCATGTTGCCAACTTAGGTATTTTATATACACAAGAGCTAAAGCTTTTAAATGCTTGCCCAGTTTTAGAGTAGAGTGAATTTCATCCTCAATTTAAGAACTTGGAATAGCAAATTTAGTGTGTGTGTGTGTGTGTGTGTGTGTTTGTTCTATTCTCAAAATTATTAATTTCCGAAAGTTCAGGAAAATATAAATATTTGCTGAACTTTCTTTTATTCTTGTACTGTAAATGCATAATTTACTCTTGGTGCCAAAAAAGTTTTTAAATAAACAATTTGTGATGCATTTTGGCACGCACACCTCTCTTAACCTCCTTTGTAAAATTTCTTTCTTGAGCCACTTATTTATTCCATGAATATGCCAATGAAAATTACTGTTGCTCCTTTGTTACAAATATGTCCTTTCCTGGAGAGGGAAAAGTATTATTATTTTTTTCAACCAATGAAATGTACCAGAGAAATAAACAGAAGGTAGGGTCTACTGATATAAATCATTCATAGTCAAGAAGGACTCATGCCCATTAGTATAGAACAAATCAACAGCCAGGAAATTTTGCATTTTTTCTCAGATCTATAGGTGTGGTCAACACATTTCCCGCACCCCTGAAAGTCCCCTGTCATACACATCCCTCCAATCAAAAATAAGAGCACAGAGAAAGTATTTGTGCTTTCTCTAGAAAAATCCATATCAGGGACAGACCTAGTGTTTGGACTCTTTTCCAGGTTTCAGTACGGTAAAATTTCATTAGAGGATTTCCTTCAGGATTTATTCTCACCTGGAATCCCCAGGTAGTCTCCCTAGCCTTCCATCTATGACTCATGTTTGAGGACTGGAGACACAGACTTACTTTCTGAGGAATCATTTACCATTCTCGCTACCTCAAAATTAAGCACATACACACACAAAGCAAAATAGAATGAAACTGATTATCCTAACCAGAAAGTTCCATTTCTTTTTTTATTTTCCTTCCAAGTGTTTCCGCCCACCCCTCATTTCTTCTGGAAGTCTACACAAGTTTACAAATATCTGTCAAGGTCTCTGTGCCTATTTGTTTCTTCACTTTCTTCTCTGAAGAGCAGAAGTGGGGAGCAGGCTACTGTTAACAGTGGGCAGGGTTCAGGGAAGCAGCCCTGGCTTCCAGCAGTGTCCTGGCCCTGGGGGCGCGGTCAGGCACCTGGCAGGAACCATCACCAGAGGAGTAGACACTGGCACTGGGAGGATGCTAAGGCCTGGGCTCCTGGCTGGGGCAATGTCTGGGCAGTCAGAGCAACCCCTTGGCTCCCCAGTCACCCTCCAACATGTTCAGGCCTGTTTGCAAAGCGGACAGGCAGAGGACAATGGAGCCAGGAGTTGATCTCCAGAAACTTGCCCACCCCACCTTTCCCGGCTCTCCCCACCTCTGAGACTGGCAGCACCAACCCCACCCCACTTCCTGCGCCTGCGCAGCCCCAGATGGCCAGAGGTAGGTAGGTAGGTAGGTAGTGGGTACTGCCTGGAAGAGCAACAAGGAGCTACATAAAATTTTATCCTGCGAATGGGAGACCTGCAATCTCTCGCTGTCACAACATCCCCCAACCACCTCCACCACGCTCTCGCTTACTATAACTGAGCAACAGGGAAGAAGAAGAGAGTAGACAGCCCCGGGTGCCAGTTCCTGGTAGAGGAATCCATCAGAGGTTATCCCGGGGTTCTTTCTGGGTTGCTTGTGGGAGAGAGTATCACCCCCTATCGCCCAGGTGAAGTAAGCAGAAAGCCTCTAGAAAGCCCACAGCCCCTATCCTTCTTCTCTCGTCGACCTTCTCCCCATTTGGGGAGCTCAAGTTTACCAGAAGACCAACTGCAATAACTTTCCCAAGGGCGGAAAGATGAGGTGGGAGTGGGCTGAGAATGGGGGGTGCCGGAAAGGTCTTAAGCTTGCACAAAATCAACAAGCGAAAGTGCATCTTACCATTGATTTGGTTGCCAGCTTCCCCTCCAGCGAACTGGAATCGGTCGGTTAAAAAGTGGCAAAGTAACACAACTCCTGCAGCGGCCAGCTCGGCCCGCCGGAACCTCGCCATGCCGTTGCCAAGACCTCTCTCCCCCGCCCCGCCAGTCCTTCCCCAGTGCCCTGGGCTCCTGGGCTCCCCGTGGGGATGGGGCGACGCTGTGGAGCGCTGTGGATAGGTCTCCGTAGGATTTGGAGGCCTTTGTAATTTCGATGGGACTTCACAGTCAGGAACCGAAAATAACCAGGGAATGCAAAAGGGAGCGCAGCCCTCTCCGGACCTCTGGGTCTCTGTTGCAACTTGCCACCCTCGCAGCTCTCACCGGACACAGAACAACTGCGGGTCGGAAACGCTATGGGCAGCCAGACCTCTCAAACTCTCTGTTCCACACAGGCAGCGCCACCCGGGTGCCGGCAGACGGTGACTTCCTAGCCCCTGCGATGCGCTCCACTGGATTCAAAACAGATCTAATTCCACAGCCAGCGCGGGTGCCTCCTCCAAATCCAAGAGAACTGTCGGCTCCGAAGGAACTTTCCCGTCTTGGGATGGCCCCGGTGGGAGGTTTAGGTTTGTGGGAAGGGGGTTACTGTGGGTTGGCGAAACCCCTCCGACAAGTTTTTCTTCTTTTCTTCGCCCAAAGCTGGGCGCGCGTCCTTCCTGGCAGCAGGAGGGATGGGCAGCCCCAAAGAGCTGAGCCCTGGGAAGGTTCGGGCTGCTGCAGCCTGAGATCTGAAGCCAGGAGGGGGGAAAATGTGTGTTTTTTAAAAAGAGGAAGAAGAAAGAAAATGGGGTGGGGGGGAAGTCAGGCTGAAACCTCAGGAGAGGTTTCCTGCAGGCTGAGGAGGAGGTGGCCCCAAATCCCCGCCGCCCGGGAGTTTGGTGGCGGAGGAGGAGGAGGCGCCGCCACCACCGCGCTCCTGCTCCACACTTCAGGGAGGGAAGGCAGCTCGCAATTTGCCAGATCTGCGGCTGCACCCTCCTCCCTCCGCCCTCCGCCCTCCCCCTCGCTCCTCCAGGCTTCTCCCACCTTCCTCCCCAAACCAGCAGCCAGCACCGACCTGTCCAATGGCTGCACTTTCCTCGGGACTGGCAGAGTCGTCCCCGACAGATTAAGCTGGGGAAGCAAAGCCAGGGGGAGTGAGAGGGCAACTCCAGCCTCGCGTGCCCCGGGCCGCCGGCTCCCGGGAGCACCGGGAGAGGAGCTGAACCGGGAGAGCCAGGAGGGGAGCAGCGGGCTACATCTCCACGCTGCCGAGGCGCCATCCGGCACCCGGCTCGCGCCCTCGGCAGCCAGGCCAGCAGCGCCCGCACCCACCTGGCTCCCGGGCCTCCTTGGAACAGAAGGGCGGGGGTTGAAGGGTGGATCGACCGACCAGGGCCCCACTAGGCACCCGCCTCTGGCGGGGGTCTTCCTGGGCGCTAAAGGGTTAATTTCAGCTCTCCCATCCGGGAGGGTTTGTTGGGCCGTGGTTGGGGTGTGAAGAAAGCAAACCGGAGCCAGTTGGGTTACTGACCCAGAGAGGCCCCTTCGGACCCCAGACCCGCGCAGAGGGTGGTGGAAGATAGCCCGCGGTAGCGTGGTCCTGCTGCTTCCACCAAGGCTTTGTAAAGTGTCAGCGGGAGCGAAAGCGAGAGTTTAAAGGAACAGGAGGCCCATTGAATTTCCTACAGGGGCTTTAACAGGCTTTCCTTCGCTAGTTTGTTTTTGTTATTTCAGCTTCAGGATCTGCTTCAATGTTAACCCATTCAGGCCTCCCCATTCAGTTTACATTTTATTTGGCATAAGGTTACCCTCATTTGAAAGAGATACGTTCAAAGGAAAGAAGTAAAACACTACTGATTAAAAGTACGCGTTCTAGAGCCAGACTATCAGGACGAAATTTCACTTCCTCCATGATAAACAATCTTTTAGCATCCGTTCCCCCAAGGGGGCAAATGTGGAGAAATTTGTAGTAATACTCTTACAGGGTCAGAGTAGTGAATTAGATGAGTTGATTCTGTATGCTTCAGATTTTTCAAAGATTTCCTAGCAATAGCTTTTTCTTGAAGAGAAAGAACTAAATTATACATTTGCTAGTGTTCTATATTCAAAAGATCCGTATTCTTGCCCATGACATTCAATATTCTGAAGAGTTTATGGATGCTAACAATAGATACCCTAACTTGTCACATAACTCCCTGGAGCTGAGTCCAAATCATCAATCTACTCTGAATTTGATGCCATAAAAGGATGCCTTTCTCATTGGAAGTGGACATATAATATGTTTTCCCTAATATGATACTCAATTTATTCTTTATTTCAGAGCAATTAGTGTATATATTTAAACACATAAACGTGCCATGCCTAAACCCTTTATCATGCCAAGAACTTGCTCTCTCCTGAGCTTTCTCCAGACTAATTGATTCCCCCCCCCACCCCTATCATATTTAAGAAACCTGGTTCTTTTATTCCTGCTCCACCAGGTGTATTTACTTCTAGGTAATGTTACATAGGAATTTGGGTACTTAGTAAAGTTACCTGTTTAAGATTAAGTTATCCAACCACAGCTTGATTGTATTTTAATTGATGTTGATTTTTTTTTTCTTTCATTCTCCTTGCAGTCATTACTTCCTGAATCCATGTGGAAAACTTCCCCCTAAACCCTTCCATACAATTCGAGTTTCCATGATAGGCAACACTATGGGGAACCTAATAAGACCCCATTTTTAACCTGGGATATTTCCCCCTTCCTTCCCAGCAAGGGGAGGAAAAATGTGTGTTCTTTTTGAGACAAAACCCATTCTCACCTCTTCCTACTCTTATTTTCTTTCTTTTTCCTTTCATTATTTATATGTGCAAATTAGCAGTGTTTATTTCCTTATTATGTTTTTGGCAGAGATGCCTTGCCCTCCTGGTTGATGCCATATATATTTTGTAAGTGTAAATCTGTTGCCAAAAGTTGAAATGGAGCCAAATGATAATTCAGAGATAATCTAAACAGTCTTGTTTTTTTTTTTTTTTTTTTTCTCACTGGTACTATTTAATTCCATTGTTTTACTTCTGTCTTAATCTGATTCTGAAAAGTTGCACACATAGAAAAAAACTTAAGTATGGGAGAAGATTAAAGTGAGGAAAAGTCAGTCATGCTTGATGATATAGTGCTCAGAACTAAGATTATCATTTTAATAGATTTAGGTTATAAAATTTACTTTAAATGTCAACCAACAATTATTTGTAAAAATGCATTTTGTCTTCACATGTATCAAGGCACAAGAAAGAAAATATAGGTAGGAAGATATATCCTTTTGGAAAGAGTTAATTACTCATATAATTCTGGCTAATTTAAAGTAGTATACTTTGTGGCCTAAATTGTTTGAGAGCCTGCCATATACATTTCACCACAGTTGAAGTGTCTATTTGCTTGCACAGTGACAAATTCAGAGGTCTTTGTGGAAGAAATTACATCATCTTTCATCAGATATAAGAGAGGTGTTGTAAGGAGTGCAGTTTGTTTATATTTACTGTAGAGACAGGAAAGGAATAGCTGGTTTATGTACTCACTGCCTTAATTTGAGCTAATCTCACAAGGAACAAATGCCTTAGGAACTGCAAATGTGTCATACTTGTTCTTTGTCCAAGGCAAAGATCTGGGATTCACAGGACATTCTCTCCTTTAAGATCAGACATCAGGATCATTCTTAACAACATAGAACTTTGAGCAGACATTGGATTTGAACTATTATCTCTGCATATTTCAAACATGTTTACAATCCCTTATCTCTAACAACCCTCAGAGGTATTTTCACACATTCAAATGCAATTACATATGTATTAAAGGCTCTCTCAATTAATCATCTCATCTTACGTCCAACTCAATGTTATATTTCCTAGGAACTGTCCTAAATTAAAACTTGGTTGACAGGATGCTTAAGAAAACAGTATGCTCAGTTGGTTTAAAAAAAAAAAAACAACAACAACAACTGAGATACAACTTAAATATAACCTGTGCAGTACTCTGCATTTATTATAATTAAATAAATAATTTTTAAAAAATATTTCAGGAAATAATTCTTACCCATTTTTCCAGGACTTTTAAAACTTGACACAATTGTGATCAGATGAAGGGAAATTACTATTAGAGAACTGCTTTGATTCAGTTCTAATATTATGACCTTGCTCTAGGTCTGTGACATTTTCTCTCCTTCCTCATTTGATAGGGCTAATTTTTTTACTTCCACTATGCAGTTACAACATTCATTTGTTCATCTTGCTGACCTGCTCTCAAAATCAACTGGGAATTTATTGTACTGTTCCAGATAGATATTTCAGATTTTCCTTTATAGATTTAGGTAGACAATTTTAAGAACATGGTAATTTTTTTAATCAGATGAACATTAAAAAATTTACCTACCAGCTAATAGCACACTCTTTATTACAGGAACATTTAACATGCAAGAATACTTATTGGCTTTTAGCCTCATACAATGCTACATTTATTTTTAGACTAAATTAACAACAATATAAAATGACATATGTATATAATCTTCTTTCTGAAACTAAGAAGCTAACATGATTTTTGACTAGTAAATAGCAAAGTCCAAAAATGAGCAACTCAACATAGTACAAAAGAAAATTAATGAAACAGTATACTCTTAAAAAGGGTAAGGGTATTACCTTTTAGTTCTTTTTAAGTAGCACCCATGCATAGTAGAAACATAGGTCTTGTTCCAAAATTATTGGACTCAAAGATAGTTAAACTCTTGCATTTGGAGGGGAAAAAAAAAGAAATGAAAATGGGCAACTGTTTGACATGCACTTAGTGAATTAAAAAATGAAGTAAATGTGTTGAAGAATATGCTGTACAATGCGTAATAATGAAGCATTTAGGAAATTGCCCAAATGCTTATTGTGGACTTAGTTATCCAGATTTTTCTGAATTAATTTTAAGAAACCACAGGAAATTCGTTTCTCATGTCAGCTTCTGCAGAGCCTCTGGTGGAGGCTATTACTCAGGTATTGGTCACTAGGTTTTTCTGAGTGACTGCAAGAGTGCTCTGAGTTACCCAGGGTCAACCACTGCAGCCCTCTTGCTTGTGCTACATCTCCTTTCTCACCTTGTAATCTTCTTTTTCTTTGTCCTCAGTTTCCTCTCTTTTCCATCTCTATGAATGTTTTCCTGAGATACAATGCACATGGCTTAAGAGTCACACTCTAAAATGTTTACCATCCATTGGTTTTATTATTCCCCTAGATGATAGGAGCAAAACTTTCATTTGATTCCGAAACTTTTTCATCACCCCAAAAGGAAATACCATGCCCACCAATGACCATTCTCCATTCTCCTCTTCTCCCAGCCCACAGCAAACACTAATCTACTTTTCTGTTTGAGGGATTTGCCTATTCTGGACATTTCATATAAATAGGGTCATAGAATAGGTGGCCTTTTGTGTATTGTATGACTTCTGTTTAGTGTAATGCTTTGACGGTACAGCCATTCTGTAGCATGTTATCAGTATTTTACTTCTTATTATTTCCAAAAGATATTCCATTGAATGGACATACTATATAAATACTCTGGGAAAAATGTGAACATTAGTTGTTGGACATCTGGATTGTTCTTACTTTTTGGCTATGATGACTTATGCTCTGATGAACATCCAACTACTACTTGTATAACCTCTGAGGACATGCAGGAAAAACAGCTACTCTACACTCCCTTTATGAGGAAATTAGAAACTATTTTCCATTGTAGCTACAACTTTTGACACTCTCATCAATAATATGGTGGTTCCAATTTCTCCATTTCCTTGCCAACATTTACTGTTTTCCTCTAAAGAAAACTAATTATAAGCATCCTAAT